GGAGTGTTCTTATAATTGTTTTCCTTTGTGAGTTTCTGATGTACTTTCTGAAACTTACTAAGCTGTTGCTGGTTTGTTTGAAAACAACAGAAACAAAAGTCTGTGTACCACATACCATACAACTGCAATTAAAATACAATTGGAGTGTACAAGCAAATCAAGTTGTCACATAACAAATTTTATTTAATTGCAGTTTTATTATCTGTAATAATCTGGAGGGGACATTATGTCGTCTTCATTCTGCGTACCCATCTGTGCATTCCACAGCTAAAATTGGCCAGGGTGTTGTTACATGCAAAAAAACCCTAATATCCCTACTGAAATGTAAAAATCTGCTCTCCAGATAAAAGAAGACATTATTGGGAATCCAGGATGATGGTCAACTCCCAGATTGAACCATGCCCCAACTATTTCAGTGTATTTAAAACTTGCTTTGTAATATGTTATTTTAGACAGTCTCACTAATATAAATCATTCCTATGTCAGCATGTTTTTAATTAGTCTGTTCTTTTTTTTCTAAACAAAATGTCAACCAGCATCTCTTACCTGTATTATTTTCTGGTAAAGTCACTTTCAGTGTATTCAGTCCCTGTGAAATATTTCTGTGCAAACCTATTCTCCCATGTTGAACAAACTTACATCAAAGAAATGATAATTTATAAAATTAAGATTGATGCAGGCCAACACAACATGGACACTTTTATGTCATTCAGAGAAGAGACGTATCAGAGGACCAATTTGGGTAAGCAGGGAAGCCATGGCAGAGCTGAAACGCAAAAAGGCGATATACAGGAGGTGGAAGCAGGGATGAGCTGCAAAGGCAGAGCGTAACAACATTCCTTGGGCTTGTAGGGATGGTGTCAGAAAAGCCTAAACTCAGACGGAGTTGAGGCTTTCAAGGGATGTCACAGGTAACAAGGCGAGCTTCTGCCTCTACATTAATAGTAAAAGAAAAGACTGAGAACAAAAATGTGGGCTTGTTGCTGAATGGGGCAAGTGATTTAGCGACAGCAGACAGAGGTGTGGCAGAAGTCCTCACTGCCTTCTTTTGCTCAGTCTTCACCAGGAAGGTCTCCCAGGCCTCTGTGCTTAGCAGAGTGGTTCAAGGAGAAAAACTGCCAGCTGTGAAGGAGGATTAAGTCGGGTTGCTTGAGAGAACTCGGCCCAGACAAGGCCATGGGGACAGATGGGCTGCATCCAAGCACGCTGAGGGAACTAACTGATGTCCTTTAAAAGGCCACTTTCCAACATCATTGAAAGGTCACAGAGGCCAGGAAAGGTCCCCAGTGATTGGAGGAAAGCAAATCACAGAATGTTAGCAGTTGGAAGGGACCTCGAAAGATCATCCAGTCCAACCCCCCTGCCAGAGTAGGATCACCCGGAGCAGGTCACACAGGAACACGTCCAGGCAGGGTTTGAATGTCTCCAGAGAAGGAGACTCCACAACCTCTCTGGGCAGCCTGGTCCAGTGCTCTGTCACCCTCACAGTAAAAAAGTTTTTCCTCATGTTCAGATTGAGCCTCCTATGCTCCAGCTTGCACCCATTGCCCCTTGTCCTGTCATTGTCTGTCACTGAGAAGAGCCTGGCTCCTTCCTCCTGACACTCGGCCTTTACAAATTTATAAACATGAATGAGGTCACCCCTCAGTCTCCTCTTCTCCAAGCTAGAGAGACCCAGCTCCCTCAGCTGCTCCTCATAAAGGAGATGTTCCATATTGCACCCAACGTCAGAAAGGACCCAAAGAACAATCTTCTCATATGAAAGATGCTTCAGTCCCTTAAGCTTCTACATGGCCTTTTGTTGGACTCATTACAGCCACTCCATACCTTTCTGATCCTGGAATGAGAAATCAAACTTCTATGTATCTGGATCATAACAAAGCAAGAAGCAATGGCTGGTCTGAATTTGCTAAGAGCAAATTATAACAAACCAAATCAGCTTTCTTCTGTGACAGAATTACAAGTTTTGTGGCCATGGAGAAACAGTAGCTGTCATTCAGATTTGCCTGAAGTTTTCATACATTCTTATGTGCCGTTCTCATGTGCCATTCTCATTAGCAAAGTAGGGCAATGTCGCTTTAATTAAGATTCTATTGGATGGGTGAAAACTGCTTGGAAGAACCCATGCAAAGAGTAGTTTAGTGGTTCAACTTTAAACTGGAAGTGTGTATTCTTGAGAATTCCACATAAATCCATGCTAAATCTGATACTATGCAGTATTTTCATTTAAGAAGTAAAACGTTAAATTCCCAAATGGCACCAAGGTGCATTAAGCACATTGAATGTAAGCACATTGAAAACTGAAACAGAAATCAGAATGGTGTTAACACATATGAGAAATGGTTGAGGAAAAAATAGGTGGTTAGGTAAGGACAAATGGACAGCTCTATGCATTTGGCAAGACCAATCAACATAGGAACACAGAATATAAATGTCTGTCTAGCATTTTCGTTAAGGACTGTTAAAAGGTTGTAGTAGATGATAAAGCTGAACATGTGATTCAATAGTGTCATGCTTTCAAAAAAACCCCATCATACTAGATTGCATAGCAGGAGATGGCTATTTATACAACACAAAATATCACTCGTGCCTCTTGGTCCAGATAAAGCTTCAGTAGCGGTAGTATTATACCTCGAGACCTATTTTCAGTTATTATTTTTAAGTAACTTTTTTTTGGCAAGGATTACTTTAGAAATGGTCTCCAGGCACGTGGACATGTTCTAAATTTAAAACACCCTCCACAAAGTAGATACAAAAAGCAAAGTGTTCTTAGCGGAATAGAAAAGGTTGTTTTCATTTTAGCAGGATCAAAAACTCAAAGCATCTCTGTGTCTTCACAAATGCTTAAGGCTGTTCCTTTCCATCTGCTAGAAGCTCAGCTTCCATTCTCTCACTTTTGTAATGAAATACAAATTTATGGCCATCCAGGATAGAATTCTGTTGCAATTAAAGTGGAAAATTTTGGCATGCCACGTCTGTTATCACAGAGTAGTTTTCTGACTTTAGAGCCATAAGTTGGATCCTGCTGAGTTGCCAGAACCTCCTGAGAATGACTGAAGGGCCCTTAAGTAAGGAATTTGTCTCCTTGCTTTACTTTTGTTCCTGAAACCTTGTCTCTCAGCTCAGACAACAGTAAAACTTAGAAATTGTAATTTTGAAAATATTCTTCATTGTAAGACAAACTGTAGTTCCAACTAAAGAGAGCAAACCACAAGGGGAAGTTCATAAGTATTCTTCAGGAGTCTGTTAATCAATTAAACTCCAGTTAGGATGATGGTGTGTGAATAGGGAGCTTTGAAATCCCTTCCATGTATTATTTCATCAGTTTCAGCTGAAAAATTAGCACACAAATAAGAACTTTTTAAAAAAAATCCTCTTTTACTTCTTCTCAACTTCTAGTCCTGTGTCATTTCAATAACTTTGCATTATGCGTTGCTGAAGTTAACGTTTTGAGTTAATCTGCTCATCCAGAGAGTGCAGGCTACTTGGGCTTTCTTTTCTAATACCCTGAATGGAGGATACTGGTAGTAGGCTGCTTGATGCTTGTGAAGAAAAGAAAATGACTGTTCTGTGAAGAGTAAGATCTGATTTGTCAGCCCAAACAGCAGAGTAATGGCAGTGAGATCCATACTGTACATCCCCGC